TATGTACATGTACTACAAAGATGGGTCTGTACAACACTTGGGAGAGCCCGTTATCTTGTACTACACAAATGGGCCTGTACAACACTGGGGAGAGCCCGTCATCTTGTACTACACAGATGGGCCTGTACAACACTGGAGAGAGAGCCGTCATCTTGTACTACACAAATGGGTCTGTACAACACTGGGAGAGCCCGTTATCTTGTACTACACAAATGGGCCTGTACAACACTGGGGAGAGCCCGTCATCTTGTACTACACAGATGGGCCTGTACAACACTGGAGAGAGTCTGTTATCTTGTACTACATAGATGGCTCTGAACAACGATGGGGGAGAGTCTGTGTTGTCTTGTACTACATAGATGGGCCTGTACAACACTGGAGAGAGTCTGTCATCTTGTACTACATAGATGGGCCTGTACAACACTGGGGATAGCCCGTCATCTTGTACTACATAGATGGGCCTGTACAACACTGGGGATAGCCTGTCATCTTGTACTACATAGATCGGCCTGTACAACACTGGAGAGAGTCTGTTATCTTGTACTACATAGATCGTACTAACACTGGAGAGTCTGTCATCTTGTACTACATAGATGGGCCTGTACAACACTGGAGAAAGTCTGTTATCTTGTACTACATAGATCGGCCTGTACAACACTCGGAGAGTCTGTCATCTTGTACTACATAGATGGGCCTGTACAACACTGGAGAGTCTGTTATCTTGTACTACATAGATCGGCCTGTACAACACTGGAGAGAGTCTGTTATCTTGTACTACATAGATCGGCCTGTACAACACTGGAGAGAGTCTGTTATCTTGTACTACATAGATCGGCCTGTACAACACTGGAGAGAGTCTGTTATCTTGTACTACATAGATCGGCCTGTACAACACTGGAGAGCCTGTTATCTTGTACTACATAGATCGGCCTGTACAACACTGGAGAGAGCCGCTGTTATCTTGTACTACATAGTGATCCCACCGGGCCTGTACAAAACTGGAGAGAGTCTGTTATCTTGTACTACATAGATGGGCCTGTACAACACTGGAGAGAGTCTGTTATCTTGTACTACATAGATCGGCCTGTACAACACTGGAGAGTCTGTTATCTTGTACTACATAGATGGGCCTGTACAACACTGGAGAGAGAGTCTGTTATCTTGTACTACATAGATGGGCCTGTACAACACTGGGGAGAGCCCGTCATCTTGTACTACACAGATGGGCCTGTACAACACTGGAGAGAGTCTGTTATCTTGTACTACATAGATGGCTCTGAACAACGATGGGGGAGAGTCTGTGTTGTCTTGTACTACATAGATCGGCCTGTACAACAAGGGGGAGAGTCTGTCTTCTTGTACCACACAGATGTTATGATACAACAATGGGGAGAGTCTGTTATCTTGTACCACACAGCTGATATGATACAACAATGGGGAGAGTCTGTTATCTTGTACCACACAGATGATATGATACAACAATGGGGAGAGTCTGCTATCTTGTACTACACAGATGATATGATACAACAATGGGGAGAGTCTGTTATCTTGTACTACACAGATGATATGATACAACAATGGGGAGAGTGTGCTGTCTTGTACCACACAGATGATATGATACAACAATGGGGAGAGTCTGTTATCTTGTACTACACAGATGATATGGTACAACAATGGGGAGAGTCTGTTATCTTGTACTACACAGATGCTATGATACAACAATGGGGAGATTCTGTTATCTTGTACTACACAGATGATATGGTACAACAATGGGGAGAGTCTGCTATCTTGTACTACACAGATGATATGATACAACAATGGGGAGAGTCTGTTATCTTGTACTACACAGATGATATGGTACAACAATGGGGAGAGTCTGTTATCTTGTACTACACAGATGGTATGATACAACAATGGGGAGATTCTGTTATCTTGTACCACACAGATGGTATGATACAACAATGGGGAGAGTCTGCTGTCTTGTACTACACAGATGATATGGTACAACAATGGGGAGAGTCTGCTGTCTTGTACTACACAGATGATATGATACAACAATGGGGAGAGTCTGTTATCTTGTACCACACAGATGTTATGATACAACAATGGGGAGATTCTGTTATCTTGTACCACACAGATGTTATGATACAACAATGGGGAGAGTCTGTTATCTTGTACCACACAGATGGTATGATACAACAATGGGGAGAGTCTGCTATCTTGTACTACACAGATGCTATGATACAACAATGGGGAGAGTCTGTTATCTTGTACTACACAGATGGTATGATACAACAATGGGGAGATTCTGTTATCTTGTACCACACAGATGTTATGATACAACAATGGGGAGAGTCTGTTATCTTGTACTACACAGATGATATGGTACAACAATGGGGAGAGTCTGTTATCTTGTACTACACAGATGCTATGATACAACAATGGGGAGATTTTGTTATCTTGTACTACACAGATGGTATGGTACAACAATGGGGAGAGTCTGCTATCTTGTACTACACAGATGATATGATACAACAATGGGGAGAGTCTGTTATCTTGTACCACACAGATGATATGATACAACAATGGGGAGAGTCTGTTATCTTGTACCACACAGATGATATGATACAACAATGGGGAGATTCTGTTATCTTGTACTACACAGATGATATGATACAACAATGGGGAGAGTCTGCTGTCTTGTACTACACAGATGATATGGTACAACAATGGGGAGAGTCTGTTATCTTGTACTACACAGATGATATGATACAACAATGGGGAGAGTCTGTTATCTTGTACCACACAGATGTTATGATACAACAATGGGGAGATTCTGTTATCTTGTACAACAACAATGGGAGATTCTGTTATCTTGTACCACACAGATGTTATGATACAACAATGGGGAGAGTCTGTTATCTTGTACCACACAGATGATATGATACAACAATGGGGAGAGTCTGTTTTCTTGTACCACACAGATGTTATGATACAACAATGGGGAGAACCTTTTATCTTGTACTACACAGATGATATGATACAACAATGGGGATAGTCTGTTATCGTGTACTACACAGAAGGGTCTACACAACAGTGTGGAGATAGACGGTATTTTGTATTTAATGAACAGCATTACTAGACCATATTGAGTCATGTTTACACTTAGCAATAGTTTAGGCTTAACGAATGGGTCGGCCTAAGTGTTCCATGCTTGACACTTTCTACTATCAGCAAACACCATGCCTATTGTATTGACCAATCTAAGTATATGATACCCCTGTATCTCGCCTCATACGTCGGCTGCCAATAAGGGGCCATGTGCCACACCTTGGCTTCGTCGTGCACACTGACCAGTCCCCATAACGAACTACACAGCCGTAGAAACGAGCTAGCCGTGGACTACTTAGCTGGGTTATGTTGCAGTGCTTCAATGAGTGTGAAATTAATTATCTATATATAAAATCCTCCACTAATTACCGATTCACCAGGTGACCTTTGCCGTGACACGGCATACAGTGCTGTATTGAACACATCCTCCTGTAGATGGTAATACTTACATGTGCCGACCCAGTAGTTAAAATATGCAGACTAGATAATATTACATATGAATAAGCACATGTATACTGCAATACCCATACGTTTCACAAGGCAGTGTGGAATTTGATGAGGTGGCTGTGGTAAAATGTGTGATAAAGGCTGATAAGAATAAGTAAAAAAAGTATATATATATTATATATATACACACACATATATGTGCGTGCGTGTGTTGTATTTAGAAATCCACAAAATAATGGCACAAGAACTGTCAACGACACAATAATGTTGAAATTAAATAAAATACACACAGATAGTGTGTGTGCGTGCGCGCGTGCGTGCACATACAGACATACATACATATGTAATGATCTACACAACACGTATAATGGCATCAAGGTGCACTGCCGCCTGAACGCCCACCTTATCCCGGAGAGGCCCCAGTTGAACTCCTTTTCATACGCCTCTATTCACGTCAGATATAGTATGGTAAATGAAACGTTTAATAAAAGCTAATGTACGAAAACAGAATGTTAAATTACTAGATATGTATGTATGTCTAGATCTCTTTCCGGTCTAGATATACAGTTGCCCAGTGGTCAGAATAAAACTTTGTGTGCAGACGGTACTGCAGTAGGTTATTATAAGCATGGGCTAGGAACTTACACATAATTTGTCTTTGAGGTTCATTGAGTTTATGCTGAAAGAAAGCGAGAAGACTATGTGGCAAGAGTTTCTAATATAAAATCTTGACTCATTGTTACAAAAGTATAAACACGAAATCGCACAAAAAGCGCAATGTTTAGGGAAAATCGAACCATGACACTGCCTCGCGATCGATTGACGTCATCGGCAGTGCCAAAGAATTGTACGGAAACCTGTTTGCGGCAGTATTTTTGAAAGCGAGTGAAGGCTACGTAGAACGGACATTGGCATTAGATAAACGCAAAATATTGCATTTATTTGCAAGCTGTTTTCCAGTGCTAAAATGATCCTAAACACAGACATGTAATCAATATCCAAAACATTCAGGGATAACGTACATGTTTGGATGTATGCGCAGACTGACTGCAATCTATGCAATGTCATAAGCGGATCCAGGAAATTTCAATCCCCCCCCCCCCCTCGCGAGCGGCTTAACGCAAAACATCAACTTCAATGTGATCTTTACTCTTTAGTCATTTTCAAAAAAGGGGATCCGTCAAAGAATGTCACTAGAACTTGTAAATTCATTTGCATTGATATTTTTTCATCTGACATAAATTACGTAAAATGATGTCTAAAGATTACCCTTCAGATAAATAAGGGGCAGGGTTTCGGCAGAGAAAATACAACATGTAGGTTCAACTTCAATTATTAATACGTATTTTCAAACGGTTTTGATTTGTAACTATTTCTTAACGTCGAGAATTATATCCCGAGCGGAACACCATACAAGGACTTGCGAGAACGAGGGACAGAGGTTGAAACCGCGCGGCGTAAGTTAGCCTTTTGACTTCGTAGGCCAGGCGGAGCCAGTCAATGGGAAATAATTATTAAGCTTATACAGTCGAGTAGTTTCTAGTTGCCATGCACCTAAGACGGACTGTATATTCTGTTTATGGGTTACTGGAAAGGATTTCTCGAGTGTGATGGTGCTTATTCGACGGCTGCCAGCAGACGAAAAGTTTCTTGAATCATGAATGTTGTTGAATGGTCATGTTACAGGCAGCATCATGGCGAGGTTCGGTGTTTTGTCTTAATTCATAAGTTTATACAGGTAAGAGTTGAAATTCTATATGAAGTGCCCGTAGGCTTTTAAAACGATTGATGCATGCAGACGCAATATATTCGTCTTTTAGGCGATAAAGGCCTGACTGTTTACGGAAATTTGCCAAGATGCTGGCGATACGCTCGTCTAACGCAGCATCTTCGTATTGAGCTGACAGTTCGGAGTCGGCAGAACTGGCTGCCTCTCTGGCCTACCAGTTTCGTTGAGGCTACCAACACGGTTCGGTTTTTTTCAGGGTCAGGGTTTATGTGTTTGTCGGTATTAACAGTGTGATTGTCAGGTCAAACTTTGGGAACGTTACAGAATTATTTCTATCATTTGGTCATGCCAAAATGCTTGGTTGGATGGACTAAACTTGAAGCTTCCTCGTGACGAACCTGTTGATTCAACATAGTCGACTATTTCAGATTGCATGTGTTATTTCACATTACATGTGTTAATTTCGTCTCTGCTTAGAATCGAATCAATGCTGTCTTTTTTCGATATGTATTTACTGTGTTTACTTTTTTCAATACAGGCTTTATATCTGGGATAAGGTGCCCAATATCTATTGCAGTACTATCAATGTCATTAACTCAATACACCGTCCCCCACACACACACACACACACACATAATATACAGGTGTATATATAAATCAAATATAAATATACCATGCCATCATATGATTCCGTGGTATTTACGTTTCCGTGGTATTTGCTAATGACATAATTTCTCACGAGCCACTCGCCAAATCGCGCCACCTATCGATTGTTTACGTTCATCAGTCGATCGGCACAGCTCTGAGCAAAAAATGTTCAGACTTTCATCAATTTGCGTACGTACAGTCATCTACTATTAAAAACTAATGCAACTTTATGTCTAGCACGTAATGCACTTTTTGTGCGATCTTTACAAACATTTTCTATAAATTTATTCAGCTTCAAAGTTTTCCAAACATCGCTAGTCTGCTAGCTGATGTCATCGATAAAAACAATCACGTGACCTAAGGGGGGAATCCCAGATCTATTTTGTAAACTAATGAAGCCCCATAGGGTCATCTCTAAAGTTGTTCTTTTCACTTTTCATTTCACGTATCCCGTTGATCAACTTTACATATTTTATGAACTGGAAATTTATGCTGAAGAAATGTGACTATTGTGTTAATTCTACAAAATCGTTTACTGTATTACAATTTATCATCTTCGTTATTACTGTAAACCTACATTGACACTCTCGGATTGGCTGTTGACAACGTGTGAGAATGTGACGTGCTGTGCGCCCGTAATTTGATCTGTAGTAAATAAAACGAAAACATATGACGTCACCCGAGTTTGTGCACAGTGGCCGCCTGTCGTCCGATACAGACAACACTGAACTTCAGAATGACAAATCTTTTTTATTTGACATTAAATGATACAAAGGTATGTTGTCTAACACTATGTTATGTTTATATGTCTTGGCAATATGAGCGATCATATTCATAGTCGTAAATTTCTTAATACCACGGAAACCCATGACCTTGGTATATATATATATATATATATATATATATATATATATATAATAAATATAAATAAACGTTTATACAAACTTGGGAAAATGCTAGTTAGGTACACCTTTAAAACAGTGCATACACTGAACTCAGTGAAGCCTTATCATTTTTAAACACACACACACACGATATATATATGTATGTATGTACACAAGTCAGAAATGAGAAAATTAGTGGCCAGTTATTGTCATTTAACAATATATCACATGATGAACCACGGGTTCAGGTAGTAATACTTAGATCCACCCAATCTGGGTATCCAAGTTACAAGTCCTTGACCTATAATAGATAAACACGCAATGTAACATACTGAAATTACTGCTACAATATGGTCAATAGTTTTACTGTATTATTCTATTTTATAGAACAAACCTTATGGATAAAAACTTCTTTTATTTGTGAGTGCGATATTTCAATACAGATCCTTGTACCGTTGTCAAGCAGGAATCGAAGAAAAGAAGTTGTTATCCATAAAGTTTGTTCTATATTGTTCTTCCCAACTTCTAAAATGCCACTCAAAGAAATTTTTTCTGTTTTACTTATGATCCTAAAGGGGAGAAATCGCAATATCAACATGACTTTTCTGTTTTATCATTTGTAAAGAAAATAACCTCAGTGTAATTATCAGATACATTTTATAAGTCAGTGTGACCTCTGTGAACACTATCTGAAAATAAGGATGATGTTTTTCCTCAATCTACTAGCCCTAATGTCTTTGGGTAAAAATATTATATGGCTCATTGAGTGTTAAGTGTTGTGTGTGCATGTGTGTGTTCAATATATCTACAACATTTTCTGATCTTACCTAACTCTATTGTAAAACTCTGTAATAAACCTTGTTTTGAATGCTGTAGTGTAAAGTAGGAAAAACAGGCCCTACAAGCAACAACCTTATCAGAAGTATTATGTTTGTTGACTTTACTTCTATGTTGCAGCTGTATGTCTGTGTAAGTCTTTGGTATACTGTGAAATGAGACACAGATTTGTCAATGATTAGTGTTACTTTGATAGTATACAACAATAGCTAACAGTATTCCACAAAACAGGAGTGATGAACGTGGGCATGACTGTTTACAAACAGTTTAACCATTCAACAGAAAAATGTTATTCCTTCCCACTTATACTTCAGTCTTAAAAACTTAGATCCTTAATGTGTGCATCAGAAATTTACTGTAGTCACTGATGTGTATCACAATATAGTATGACCAGAAATTATTGAGAATTTTAGGAATATGTTTAATTAGATTTCTAGTATAAACAACCTTGACCAGCTATCAAGTGCTTGGTTTCATTCAAGAGAGACAACTCTGTTAATCTTTTTTCATTAGTTTGTGAAGAGTTATCCCCCCTTTGTTTACTTGCTAGCATTTTCAGTAATCCTCAGTATGGATGATTTAGAGAAGAGGAAGTTTGTTTTAGAGTATTATAACAAGGACATCAGATCAGCTAAAGTGATTTCAAGTAGAACAGGCATCCCAAGGCCACTTTTTATTGTGTTTTGAAAAATAATGCAAATGGATATGGCATTGAGCACCAGGGAGGCACCAGAAATTGACTGTCGGTGACAGGAGGCGGCTTGGTATTCTTGTTTCTAAAAACAAACGAAGGAGTTTAGAAAACTTAAGGCTGGATATGATTGATAGAGGAACTGTGGCTGTCTGTAAGGAGACAATTAGAACTGAGCTGCATGCAATGGGTTGGCAGAAAAGTCGAGGAATTCCATCACCGATCATGAAACCTGAACAAAAGGAGCGAAGGTTGAACAGGTGCTTACAGCATAGAAATTTTAACTGGGACAATGTGATTTTCTCAGATGAAAGTTCTGTGTGGCTGTTTCCTAATACACTGAAATTCTGGACCAAACAAACTGAAAAACCTTTGTATCAGCGCCCAAAGTACAGTCCGAAATTTAACGTGTGGGGTGGCATATCTGTGTTAGGGGCAACGCCCCTCTGTGTATTTGAAGGGAATATGTACAGTGAGCGGTACACAGATAATCTCGAGGGACATTTACTTCCATCTGCTCACATGTTCTATGGAAATCTTTTGATTTTCCAGCAGGACAACGACCCAAAACATCGTTCAGAGCATTCACAGGGACCCCCATCATTAACTTTTACTCTGTATGCATATGACAAATATTGGTTAACAACTATGAACATGGCATTACAAATGCAATAAGACGTCAGCAGTTGATGCATTATTCATTAAATTCCATGAAACAATAAGAAAATATATTCTTTGATATATTTCGACCATGTTGACAGTGTTAATTTATCATGACACTGAGGTTCAGGTCACAGAAGGGCACTTTGTTTCTCCTTATACATTTCAAATATAGTTTCAAAAACAGTCTGATGTGTCTATGGATAGAGAGACAAGGGATAATTATGTTTTTATCCCCCTCAACAGGTTTTGCAGGGGGTATTATTTTGGATGTCTGTTCTGTACAAAATTGGTATTTTCTGGAGCAGAACTCTAAAACCGTACAATGTTTCTTCACCAAACTTGGCACATAGATAGGTCTGGTGGTGAACTGGTAGTTTTGGATTTCTGAAGTAACTATATTTTTGCGTTGCCATGGCAACAAGTTTGATTTCGACTGAAATTGGTGGTAGTGCTCTTTTCCGACCTCTAAAACCGTAAAATGTTTCTTCACCAAACTTGGCACACAGATAGGTCTGGTGGTGAACTGGTGCCTTTTGATAGTTTTGGATTTCTGAATAAAATAACTTTTGCATTTCCATGGCAACAAGTTTGACTTTGACTGAAATTGGTGGTAATGCTCCTTTCTAGAGCAGAGCATTAAAACCATTTAATACTCTACTTCCACTTTGTGGGTATTCAAGAACCTAATGACATAAATCAACAGTACCACTCTATTTCCAGTATCAACAATACTGAGGTATTGTTGTTGATACAAGCATGCTTGTATATGAATAGTTTACATATGTATGTTTTCAGTGTGAAGAACAATGTAACTTTGACATAGTCATAACTAGTTCACATATTCATGAAGAGTATTTTACCATTGTGGGGGATATTGATGACTTTTTCTTCTTGTATAAATTTGTAAAGTTATGTCATTGTCCTATAGTATGAACCAAATTGATACCCAGTCCAGATTTTGAAACCTAAAATGTATTTACTTTGCAACTGTTTCTTGTATTTCTTTTCATCATTCAAGTTCTCAAATCTTAGTTTAATTTTCAAGAATAAATTTAAAACCTGAGATACTCTCTTAATCAGTGATTTTGACCTTTGTTTAGAGATTAGCATGAGGCTCTAGGGCTGCAATGAATTCAACATGAGATGATCATGAAGTGTACAGGGTTTTATCTATGCACATCAGTCAGTTTGTACAATAATGATACCGATGAATTATATATCATCACACAAAACAAATAGACATAACAAAATTTCTCTATATGTGGAACCTCTAACAGCTATCCCGA